CCAAGTTGGACGCCTGGAGGCCTTGGTCCGTTGGGCTTCGCGGCTGTTTCGTGATTTTGGCCCAATTTCGCTCCGTTTTGGCCCCGAACACTGTTTTTGACCTCCCGGAAGCTCGTTCAAGCACGAATCTTGATCCTTTGATGATTTATTCCCCTTTTCTCAAATACTTGAACAAAAATGGATGATTTATGATGATTTCATGTGGAATCCCATTTTATGACTCTTAGAACGAAAATGAGAGTTTTATCCATTAAAACCACATTTTATGAGATGATTAAATACTATTTACGTGCAATAACGTTTAGAATGTGATGTAAATGATAAGAACGAAACGGACTTATCAATAGTGGAGCTCCAACCATACGACACCTTCGAAGAACTATCCAAGCTTGCCCTACGGGTTAAAGCACAACTCAAGAGGACTAGAACCCCCTTTGGCCACTCCTCACCCTACACCAAAACTCCTCCGAATTCCTCACGAAACCCAACCCCTACATCGGCCCAAACACCATCATCAAAACCCAACTCCATTCATTCCACCTCTACCAACCCGCCACATCCCAAGGCCAATCCAACCAACACTCGAGCTCCAAAATGTTTTCGTTGTCAAGGCAAAGGTCATATGCCAACGAATGCCCGAATAAGAAGATTTTGGCGATCGTGGAATATGAAGATGAAGAAGATAGCCCCACATGGAGTGATGAAGTAGCCGAAGCCATATACCATCTAGAATAAGAAGGTGTGCTCGCTTATTATGGGCAGTGGGAGTTGTACCAACGTGGCCTCAAAAACGTTGGTTGAGAAGCTAAGGTTCAAGACATCACCCCACCCGAAGCCATATACCATCTTCGGAAGGAATGTTTCCCTACGAAGCGTAAATCAAAGCTATTACCACGAGCGGATGGTCCATTCGAAGTCATTGAAAAGGTCAACGAGAACGCTTACAAGATCAAACCCCCAGGAGACTACGGCGTTTCAGCAACCTTCAACATTAAAGATCTCAGCCCGTACTTTGATCCTGAAGAACTTCCGAGTTTGAGGGCAAACTCTTCCGAAGACGGGGAGGATGTTGTATCCCCAACTACGTCAACTAGTTCTCAAGAACTTAAACAAATATGTGGATTAATGTCCAAACGTCACAATCCTTTTTGGAATGAATTTCTCACCCCAAAACCATACAACCCAACGTTGATATATTTAGGCCCATGAAATCCGAAACCCAACCCCTTAAAGCCCATCACAACATTTTCAAAACCATACCTTAAAACCCTAACTCTTTCCCCTTTCTTTTCCTTGTTTGGCCGAACCCCCTGTTGTACCCGAGACCCGGGGTCTTAACGAGTAGCTATTTTGTGGCGGATTTGCGGAGAAAATGGACGATGGAATTGAAGGGGTAAAATATGGAGTATGGGAAAGAGTTCTTTTTTTGGTATTTTGATTTATGAAGATAGAATAGAATGGGGTTTAGGAAGAGAAAATGGAGAGGAATGAAATGGGCAGAAATAAAGTGAAGGGATAAACCAAGTTGGTGTTAAGAGATATGACACACTCTTATCTTAACTTGGGGCTTTTATCTTCTTTTACACATTAATAATCACTACTAATGTATAAAATTAGACTCCTAACACGCACTCAAAAGTAGCCAACTTTAGAGATATTTCATTAGGAAATTTGGTTAAAATAGCATCACACTATTTTAAGAGAATACTCAAAAGAGTAAACAAAGTTTTTCATTTAATAATCAGCCGTGTTACAAAGGCCTAAGGGCCGAATTATATACTATGATGGAAAGGGAGTAAACATTACAAATGAAAGTAAAAACAAACTAGGAAACTACCAAGCATCATCCCTTCACAAATCAGCATTTGTTCTTATCTCATTAGTGGATTGCATTCAGAGGAAAAAAGGGATTTGTTTGGCTTTGATGGGGTTGGTTTTATTCGGCCATGTGTAAGGAAAATACAAGGGGATTATGAGACTAAAATAAGGTGTAGATCTGTCTTGTTTGATAGTGGGAAATTCGGCCATTGTGGGCCAAGACAAAGAAAATAACATGGCCTGATTTTTAGTGAATAATAGGACAAGAAGTTACTATTCAATCAAAGACCTTTTGCTGATTTTTGTCCCTTTGTTGTGTGTGGGTATTTAGGCCTGATTTTGGGAAGAAAATGGGTGGGAATTTCGTTGGAAAGGTGTAGGAAAATAAGGGGAAGGTCTTATTTAATGAAAGGAACAAAAGAAGTAGAAAACAACACACAGGGTTTGTCTTTTTGGTCCTCATTTTCGTCCAAGGCTAAAAAGGAAGGTAAAGACTTTATTTTGATTATCAAATGAAGATAAAAGACTTTTGGATATTTTGGGAGAGGTTGGGATTTTAGTGGAGCCATCCAGGGGTACATCATACTTCCCTTCTTCGAAGAAAGTTTGTCCTCAAACTTTCGCACCACCGTGACTGATTTGGGTTTCATAAAAGAATTCCCGGATCAAATGGGAAATTCAATGAACCACCAATAATGAGGTTCCTTCCGGAATTAGTAGACACTTCGTTGTGTAATTTCCGGAACATGATGCCATGCCTTGTAAAAACCTGCTTCGAACATACCTTAGAGATGAGATAAGATTTTCCTTCATTGAAAAGATGATAATACTCTATGAAAATCACTTCCTTAGAATATATAACTTCCGGTGTGGCTTCCTCTATAAATACCTCATCAACGAAGTCATCATGAATAAGGAAAGAATCATTATAGTGTGATTCTTCCTGAGCATTAGAAGCCGGTTCTTCTACGAAGACGTCATCTTCATCTTTGACAGGAATATCAAAGACGTCTTCCTCATTGACAAATTGGTCACATGAGCTTTTCTTTTCCTCCTCATGAATCATGGCCCACTCTTCATATGGTATGGCATACTTATTTGAACATTCCCAGTGGCCATGACCACAGCCACCACACATGAAACA